CTTGGATTTCTTCCTTGAGACAGTGCACCCAAACCTATTTTCAATGCTAATCAAGGCAATTACTAGACATACTGTTTTAGACTTTTACTTAACAAATACTTTGCTATTTTAGCTTGGTTTTACTAAAGTTTTAACAATCACTGTATTTCCTTCCACTCAGTAGATGCAGTAGGTACTATCCATACACAAAGATATGTCAAAATTCAATAAGCTGAGAGATCTGTAATTTTAAATAACTTAGAATCATGTTGAAAAGCTCGACTTCTCCCTGTCAGAGGGTTTAAAAAAAGAGAGCTTCATTTATTTACCACGCTGAAAAAGTTTAGTTACAACTGATCACCAATATAGGTTGTGCCTTGGTGGGCTGGAAACAGGAGCAGCTTGCAAGTTAGAGGAATATCAAAGTGATTGGTCCATTAACTGACAGCTGAAATAGTAGACCTCAGATGTGTAATTTTTAGAAAGTGCTATGTGGATATGTGAAAATATTTTTCCTTTTAATTAAAAAAATAGCTGATAAATTTTAACTGATAAACAGTTTTTAACATAAAAATTGTACAGTTGGGTGTGGTGGCACACGCCTGTAATCCCAGCACTTGGGAGGCTGAGGCAGGAGGATCACTGTGAGTTCGAGACCAGCCTGGGCTACCTAGTGAGTTCCAGGTCAACTTCAAGTACATAGTGAGATCCTGTCTCAAAAAAAAAGCAAAAACAAAAACAAAAATTGTACATATTAGTGGGGTCTTGATATGTTCTACACAAGTGTATATTGAATAATGTGAAAGCATCTCATATTTCACAGGATTTGATAATACAGTAGGCCAAGGTGCTAGGTGAATACAATAAAATTGCTTTAATGAACCTTAAAGTTCCCACATAAAGAGGTGTTTAAATTAGATTAATACAAAATGCATGTGTTTCTGTAACACATATACATACTAAATTATAAGCCATATTAAAGTTTATTTAAAAATACATGGTCACATCAAAAAGCCTATTTTACAGAGGTTAAAAGAGCAATAGTTTTTTTATTACAAATTCTAAAAAAGAATCCAACTTTTAAGTAAAAAGGAACACTGATTTATCATGAAAACATTAAATTTAAAATTACTAAATAAAAAATCTTTATAGTCACACAAGTCCATTGTATTTGCTGGTTTTTACAGACACAACTTCTTTATAGTTTAGGCCCTATGAACAATTTTTACTATATACAATGACAAAGCAATAAAAGAACTGGGCACCACTAGTGGACATGAAAAACAAAGGGTCATCGGCTGGGTGTGGGCCAGAAACCAATGCTTGCTGACAGCAGTAAAGTTATTTACCAACTGGGTCTTGGCCATGCCCTGGGCCTCTCGAGGCTGGCTGTGTGTGTCCAGGAAGTGCAGCAGGCCAGGCTCTGCTATGCCCATTCCAAGCAGCAGCCACCTCTTCCATGAGCCACAGATGTTCCTTGGTCCTTATTCATCTTGCTATACTCATGTGATATTGGGAGCTGAAATTGAGGATCCCAAATGACTTCATTTTCATTTGAAGTCTCTTACTTATTTTACCCTGTCTTTCTAAGGCTCCACTACACCAATCGGTAGCTATAAATGCTCACACATCGCAAGCTGCCAGACCCCAGAACCAGTTTGAGGTCCTGATTTCGATCTCCGTGGGGGTGGCAATGCTCAGATTGTCTTTACGCCCAGACTGTGGCACTGGCTTCAGCCATGCTGAATAACCTCCAAGCAGAATGCTCTCAACAAACAGTGTTACCATCTAAATTAAGACTAAACTGTGTAAACAATTTGTATTACAAAAGTCAACATCCAAACCAACGATAATAACAGATCAAACCTCTCAAAATCCAGAAAGCTATTTTAAAGTGTTTAAATATAATTATAAAAGGAAATATAATCCTCTGCTAAATAACAAGTTCAAATGACCTTATTTTCATATTTATATGACTAAAAAATTGACCTTTGCTCGCATTATTTAATACAAGAACTTCAGAACTTCCCCTTGATTTATAAGAATATTAAAGAACTTTATGAAATGTACAAAGAAGGCAATGTTTTGGCACTAGTGAAAAGGATAATTTCACTTACCCCACCAAAAACCACACCAATCATGACTTCGTGATTTCTAATAATCCATGATGCACGCTCTAAATCCAATCCTTTGCAGGCCTGTGGAAATTATACTTTTGATGTTGAATGTCACTTGATTCCTATCAGGAGAAGTTATGGATGACAAATATTACAAGGAAGGGTAAGCCAGACAGAATCTTGGGACAACCTATCACGTATTGTGAAATCTCATGATATGCCCACATATAAAAGAGAAAATAAGGCTCAGGTGCCTCCTCTGCTGTCATTAACATTAGAGGAAAATTACTTTTCCTTATCCTCCCTGTTAAGTGCTCAAATAAATTTAGAAAACAGTTCTGTTAAAAACAGGCTGTAAGTCAAAGTACTAAAAACAGTTTCTGAAGAACTGCTTGCAATATAGGATTTAGAAAATATTTTGGCTAACACTTAAAACAAGACATAGTTTTAAAAATATTTTATTCATACAAATTAAAAGATAGGCTCTCACCTTTTAAAAGATAATTCAGAAACTAGTTTTTGTTAACTATGGTTGGTAATAATAAAATTTTATATATCAACATTAAGATACTCAAAAGATATACTATTCTTAGTTTCCCTGGCATTTACCTCTGGGGAAAATATGATTTTGCAATAATATGTATTTTAGTACATATCAAAGATTCCTGTAAGTTTTTCTCATTAAGAGTTTTTAAACTTGAGTTTGTATAGCCTCCTTGTAACTGTAGGGTCACCTTTGCCTTTATAAGGTAATTCACAAATGATTCTTTTTTAAAAGTATCAAATTAAAGTACTATCATGAGAATTTTTCACTAAAAATGCTAAGCGTATAGTTCCCAGCATAACAAAAGAGTAATGTATGCTGATTTTACTCAGTCACAATTAAAAGAAAGTGTACATAAATTTTGCAGAAGACTTTATGTAATTTTGATTACTAGTCAAATCTATATACAAAACATTCTGGTAACCCTAAGAAAGTAAAACATTTTGTTCAAAGAGTTATAAAGCAAAATGCAGGAACAGAGGTGGCAAAAAAGCTGGGTTTCACTAACAATCATCAGGGCAAGTATGTGAGAAAAGATGCAACAGAAACAAGTAATCAGGAATACCCTAATGTCTCCTACCCCTACTCCTTCAGATTATAAAGCACCTGTTATGTACTAGGTGATTTTATTAGAAACATGATAAATATTTCTTAAAGAATCTACGTATAGAAAACATACATATAAAATTATATATTTTAATAGTTTAAACCCTAAAATATATATCAATATAAAACATTAATTTTTCTCCATATAAATTGGATTTTTTTGTCCACATAACAATATCATATCCAAAGCCCATCATAAACCCAACTTACACTGATACTTGAAACACGTTCACATACACACACAACACATATATAAACATGTTTATATACATACAAACATGCATATTTACTGAGTCTCAACAGAAAAAAATACCTATGGTCGCAAACAAAGCATCTCTTCATAAATATTTGTGTATATAAAGTGTCTGAATATAGAAAAAAACAGTCTTTAACTTAATTCTGCCCCTAATTGAACACAGTAGGCCTAATAGTTTCAGCTGCCATCATGTTCTAAAATCTTGCGGTTTTCATACAGATTTAACTATTCATATATGAAATTGCTCATATTTACCAGTGGAAGGCCCTATTCTAGACTGATTATAGACTCAACGGAGTCCTCAGTGTATTGCTAAAAACTTGTGATTATGCCTGCAAAAATATTTTACCTTTTGCTTATCTAACTCTTCCTCTTCAGTAAAACAGCAAACTTGAAAGAGAATTCTGGGCTTCAGATTTTACCATGTGCATCCTGGAAATTGTGGAATGTCAACAGCAAGCTGTGTCAGGGATGCTACAGCAGGAGCAGACAGAAACCCAGGCTCCCCACCTATTTATCTGATATTTAATCACAATAATAAACTCTTGGTTCCACAAAGTGACTGCAACTTGCTTTTTAACAGTATCAGTGAAGTAACTGATCTCATGGAAGATTTGTCAGAAAACAGATGTTTTCCTTGCCTTTCGATTACACAGATAAACTAGCATGCTTGGTAATATTCCCCATAGTGTCCTGGGAATGTCACCCACATGTAAGTGTCCAGTCTCTAGCCTCATCTAATAAACTATTAGTACAAAATATTCATGAAGAGAAAAACACACTGAACATAAATAATCTACTAAAAATAAAATAAAGCAATTAGAGAATCTTACATAACAAAATTTACTCATATACCAAGGTCACTGTGTTTATATAGTTTTACTTCGATTTGGTTAACTTTTGAGCTTGATATTTTAAGTAATCATGTTCTTAACCAAAATATTTCCCCACTTACTGATAGATTATTTTAAAATACTGGAGCCTGTATAATAGCCTTGGTGTGCTCATTGAAAAGCAAATCAAATAAAAAGTGCTACAGATTTATGGGTGGGAGAGAAAAACATGCCTTTTTCCAAAGGAACATCAGAAGCAAATGGGATGTGAATCCCTTAAATTGGGCAAAGAGCTCTTTAATGCCTAGGCAGACACTTTAACATCAGAATATGGTAACTTTTCCTTACATTCCTCCACCTTTTCCTCTTTTGCACATTGTAAAAACAAAATCCACTTCTGCATCCCCTCACATTTTGGATAAAACAAAATAACAGAAACAAGTGAATTTCATGCTTAGTGAGGTTAAAAAAGATTAACCATGATTAGGTGTTAAGTGATAGAAAAAAGTATGGATCATTCTACCATCTGTATGGTTTGGGAGATATACTGGTTTAAGTAACTTTTCAAAAGACGGATTATGTGGTGTCCACCTATCCAAGCATATGCCTGATTATCAATCACATCCTCTGCGTGGCCACTGACACCAGTGTTTGGACTGTGGGAACCACCTTCACACCCTAGCTTAAAGGGTCCCACATGGGTCACAGTACCAGTCTCCAGCCCTGATTGGTGGAGGTGCATCATTTATAGCAGGTGAAGGCCTCATTTTTAAGGAGCACAGGCTCACAAAGACAGGAGTTCAAAAGGACGCTGATGGTGACATGGAACGGCACTCTGTCCTAGAGTACAGCAGAAGCAAACACTCTTCCTAGCTAAAGTGTTAGCAAACTGTCATACCATGTAGGACAGTATTTGTATTAAACCCATTGCTGGAATTTATAACTTACAGAAAAAGCTTATTTCTAATCCTCTCCTCTTACCCCTGTCCAAGGTTAGATATCATGATGGGTGACTGCACTTGTAGCCTTGTCTAAACTGACATTAATGAAGCCTACAGTAATAAGGAAAAGCAACTATTATTTTCCCAACCATACAGGACATATACAAATCACTCTGCAGTGATACACCACCAGTTATGACAAGACTGGAATAATGTCATGGTAACAGTAAAACACCAAATAACTTGTGACAGTCGTGTTCCCAACCACACACACACACACACACACACACACACACACTTTCACACTATTTTGGGGAAATTCATCACTGAGGGAAGAGCTCAGGAGGGCACATAATTCACCATTTGAGGAGATGCTGGTTAGATGAGTAAGTATCAATTAGGGTGAATTATGTATTCAGCAAACCCACAACAGCCTAGCACAATGGTGAGATTCTGTCAGGGTCTGCTCAATGCAGGACACGCATGTTAAGACTGTGGACCAGGTCCGCTCCTACAAGCATTAGCATTCGCTTGTCTTTTCATGGAATATGAAAGGTAAACTGAGATTTCTCTGGTGATGGTCAACTGTCTGAATAGCAGATTTTTCTTCTGTCACTGCATTAATGTTGCCCGAATAAGCATCTTCATCGTCCTCTTCATCCTTTGGGTTACCCTCCAGGCTGTGTCTAATGCCATAAGCAAAGTAAATCAGGAAGCCTTTGGGGAGAGAAAAAAGAGTCAATATTTTAGGTATGTCAGGAAAGAATGGTCGTGGTATGGGAGATTTAATACAGAATTTAAATGGCCTGTTCCTTTCTTTTTCTGTGCTACTTTAGAAGAATGGAATGCAAAAACAAGGCACCTCATGAAGGCTTCCTCCATAAATGTTTTCTCAATAGAAGGTGCCTTTCATTTCTAACCTCCAAACTTCACGGAATGCACTTTTCTCTAAATAGATGTTTTTCAGGAAAAGTTTATGTGGAAAAAATTTATATTTATGTTCTCAAAACTCAACATCCTATTTTAAACAAAATGATATGTGAGGTAAAGAAGAGAATTTATATCTTAATAAAGTGGTGGATTATCTACCATGGTCAGGTATCTTGAAAAGCAAGTCTGGTGTCAACAAAGAGGGCATGGACATGCCTTCCACATGTCACCATCACCAGGGAGACCAAAGAACTGTATCTAAAACAACTGTAACTAACAGCCATGCCAACCATGTGGAGACAGCAGGCAATGTCTTACATACCACCATAAGATAATTTATATGTAGGCATTTTATTTATAAAAACTAGACAAGAATTTTTAAGTTACTCTGAAATGACTCTTTGGGGCTTTATTTTTCTCATCCACAAGACAGAAAAAATAAAATTGACATAGTTCTCCATGGTTATTGGGAGATTTAAATTTTAAAAGGTATTTGAGGGGTAGGAGTATCTCAGAACATTTGCCTAATGTATCTGAGGTCCTAGATTCAATCTCTAGCACCACTCAGACAAGAATTTTTAAGTTACTCTGAAATGACTCTTTGGGGCTTTATTTTTCTCATCCACAAGACAGAAAAAATAAAATTGACATAGTTCTCCATGGTTATTGGGAGATTTAAATTTTAAAAGGTATTTGAGGGGTAGGAGTATCTCAGAACATTTGCCTAATGTATCTGAGGTCCTAGATTCAATCTCTAGCACCACTCTCCAAAAAAGTCTTATTCCAGGAAAGAGCAGAATGTTCAGTTCTCCACAGCCTGTGAAAGTGGAAACAAAGTGTCAAAGGTTTGAAAACTAAAATGTTAAAAGACCTACCAAGTGCCATCCAAATGCTGAATCTGACCCAAGTGTCTGCACTCAACTGGACCATCAGATAAATGTTCACCAGGATGCTGAGTGCTGGTAAAAATGGTAAGAATGGAACCTAAGGAGGAAAAAAAAAATCTTTTTTAGTATACTCCTACTTTGAAAAGATACTTCTCAAATTATTTCAAGATGGTGACATTAATTTGATATACACACTTTCAGACTACATCAACAAGCTTATATTCTAACAAGAAAGACAACTTGAATGAAAATCCTTCTTCTAGAGATTATTAAAAGGAGAACATCATTTTAGATTGCTTGCTAAAGTTCAATGCAACTGGAGGATCATCAAACCAGGTAACATCTACACCATCACCAGGATATAATAGGATTTGGGGTTCAGTTTAGATTAGGGTTTATTGGTCTAGTTTAGACATCAATAGGTCATGCCCTGGGACTCTGGATATACACAGTAGCCTGACAAATACTTAGGAGGTTCTCTTCACACCCCAGTCTGCTCCTAGTGCTAATGGGACAAGATAATAAAAAGTTGTAGCGGAAAGGCTTTTGGTGGAAACAAATCTTCGAGAGTTGTACATTTCTAAAAATAAAACATTCAAATTACTTTTCTGATGTTTTACATTTAGGAAAATATTGTTTATTATATGGCTTTTGAGAAAGGGAGTTTGAGACAACCAATGTAGAGAAAATACTGAGACAAAGAGAACACATCAAAAACTTTGACACTCTTGCTCACTGGTTAACTTTGTTAAGCTTTATTTTTTTTTAAACAACTCACTAACACAAAAAGTGTACATCATATTTAGGATCTCTAATTCTCAAGTACATACCATAAAGGCCACTTTTTGCTGATTCTGTGGCTGCCTCCAAATGGTCAGAACAACAGCAATGGAGAAAACAAGAAACAGTACGAGAAGGGCAAGGCTCCAAGCCTCCAGCCTTGAGATAGCTTGCACTCCGTAAGTGGTCAGAATACTCAGGCCCAGCACAAGAAAGGCTGCAGGGTATAAAGCAGAGTCAGCACATAGGCTTCACTTGGATCCTTTAGTTCTAGCAGTCTATTCTGATACTGAAGTTCTTTACATATCTACTTCGATAAATACAGAATCTTCCTTTTTTTTTTTCTTATTTTTCACTGTGGAAAGAAGTGGTCTCACCGAGTTATGAAGCAGTGCTCATTTCAGTAATGTCTTAGAAATCGGCCTCTCCATGTGGAGCTACCATCTTGCTTTCTCTGCCCATGTAACCTGGTCCTCATGTGCTACTCAGGCTATATCACAGGGACTGATGGGATGTGTTGGGAGTGGATATCTTCCTTTTTAAAAATGAGAAACAGTAAATCTGTTTCAAACTGTTGCAAAAATGGATTGCTAATACAGATAAATAGTAGTATGTAAGCTGTATCTTTTGTCGCTATTTCAGGCAAAGACATTCCACCTCTAATCATCAAGTCTGCATTAAAGGATCTAGTATTTGCTCTCAGAGAAACCTGATCTTCTCTAGCTTGGCATCAATAATTTTGTACCATAAAGCCCTGTGACAGCAAGGACCATCTTTCTAAACATCCTGAATCCCCAACAGTGCCTAGTATACAGATGAGGCCTACTAAATGTCACTGGAAATACGGATAATTAGGTAATTGTGGGTAAGGAAACAAGGATTTTCTGTGTTCCTTCCAAGTCTCATTGGGCTCCAGTCCCACTACATCTGTCCTGATGCTTTCAGAGAGAACAATCTAAAAGCCAATGAAATGTCCCAGTTTGCACTCAGGCCCCTCTTACCTTACAGAATTTCATTCTTTCTTCTCCAATCATCAAGTTATATTAAACTTATACTGATAGTATAAACATAAACTCAATTATTAATGACTAGCTAGAAATTTCAGGACTCTAGCTGGTAACTAACATATTCTAGGGTACCGTGGGGCCTGTGGTCCTCTTTCTTACATGTTATCTACTGGGTCAGAAGATACACAGGCACATGCAATGAAGAGGACTTACCTAGGAATCCTACCAGAAAGCTCACGAGAGACGCCGACTGTCTTGTAGGCAGAGCAGAGGGGCTGAAGAGGGTTCGCAGGCTGAAGCCCTGTCCTTGCAGCATGGTGAGCTGAGACTCGCTTTTTGAGGCTGCAGCAGTATATGATCCTAAACCTTCTTTCTCAGGGGAGTATTTGGGCTGCTCATAACATAAACCAGGCTGGTACCTATGCCCAAATAAATATCTGTGTCTTCAAACAGACATTTGGTCCAAGTGAATCCAGTGCCTAAGACTCTAGGTAAGACATCTTACAAAGTCACAGTGTGTGTGGTCAAGTGATACTTCTCATGACTCCAGCCCCATAACCATGATAATCCAAGCACAAACTTTTTTTTTGTACTGGGGTTCGAACTCAGGACCTTGCGCTTGCGAGGCAGGTGTGGCACCACTGAGCTAAATCCCCAGCTCCCCAAACCTTTTCAATAAAGTATGAGTTTCTTCTGATAGCCATTTAACTAAAGTTATGGAGTAGATGCAAAATAGTTAAATTTTAAGGTGAGGCAAGTGTGACAATCAAATAATTATTTCTGAAATCAACTAAGTCCAAAGTAAACATTGCGTAAAAACAATATGGAAAGTCCAGTTAAATATGAAGTAGAGAATAATGCCTTCTTCTGGGGGTTGGTATTCAGAAGCCTCATCAAGTTTGTGATAATCTAGACTGTTAGCCTGACTCATTGAGAAACACCGATGAAGCTAGTAAAGCATACTCTTGGGTACATCTGTGAGGATGCCAGGCACGGAGGACAGCAAACTAAGGGGCAGATGCGCTCTGTATGTGAGGTGAGGTAGCACCATCCAGTAGGACGGAGGCCCAGACGGGAACAAGAGGAAGAGGAAGCTCCCCAGTGCAGACTCTCTTCTCCTCTCTCTGCTTCTTGTCTGACACAAGGTAAGCAGCTCTCCCCCATCATGCTCTTCTGCCACAGGCCCAGAAGCAATGGTGCCAGCTGACTATGGGCTGAGACCTCTGCAGTCATGAGCAAAATAAACCTTTCCTCCTTAAGTTGTTACAGCAATAGAAAGTTTGTTATAACAACAGAAAGCTAACACACAGTCCAGCTTTATCTCTCAACTTTCCAACCCAGTTTCTCTACCTTAACCAAAACAAGCTTATCTAGTGATTCAGCCACCTCCCATCCCATGAACACTATTTTCCTTTGTGAGTTTACCCTTCTTCTCTATAGCTTGTGTCAAGATACCAGCCTGCTTCACCACCTAGTGCCTGCCTCAATCTTCCTTCTCTCTTTCTGAGCAGACTTTGCTTATTTTAGAAAGTAACATTTTTTCCATGTAAAAAATATGCTTACTGTGGAAAAATACAGAAAAGTATGTAGAAATTAAATTACAACTACACATAACACCCCTACCCAGTGCTAATCACTATTAGCATTTTAGCACAATTTCATCTAGTTGTATATGTATATATACACATATACCACTTCTTAATGTAAATTTATGTTAAGTTCAGATGTTACATGCACATTTGCATACTGAAACAGAAATATTTATCCATATAATTAAATATAATTTTATTTGCCACAGAAAAATCCACTATTCTACTACTGATATTCATGTTAGCTGCATTTTTTTCACTCATGAATTTACTTTTCTATGAACATCCTTTTGCCTCTGATTAAAGCTTCAGTATAAAAATCTCAGTATACTGGGACAAACAGGTTGGTTGTTTTTGTTTTTTGCGGTACTAGAGAATGAATCCAGGACCTTGTACTGAGTTAGCCCTTTTAAAAATTATTGAAGGTTACTGCAGTTGGGCTTGAATTCGCCATCCTCCTGCCTTAGCCTCTCAGAGTGCTAGGTTCATAGGTGTATACTCCATACTGATAAAAATGTATAATATTTTTTAATATCTTTATACACTGTATTTACAAATACATTATAGAGTATTTTTATATGTCTTTATACACTGTATATATTGAGTCATCCTATCACTAATGATCAAACTGTATTTGATTTTTATTTTATTTTATCTTATTTTTGGTACCAGGGATTGAACTCAGGACCTTGTGCTTGCAAGGCAGGAGGCAGAACCACTGAGCTAAATCCATAGCCCTGCATTTGATGTTTTTGCTAAAGACAGTCTGCTTCTTATACTTGATACTGACATCTTTAATGGATGTTACAGTTGAGATCTGAAATGCTCCTAAAGGTCTCATGTATGCAGAGGTGGGGCTTCTGAAAGGTGATTGGATAATGGGGTTGCTGTGCTCCTAAGTGGATTAATTCATCAATGAGTTTGTGTGCTCAGCAATGGGGCCTGGTCAGAAGAGGCAGGACCAGAAGGGCATATTCTTGACCCTGGCTCTTCCCTTCTCTCTGTTTTCCTCTACCATGCCTTTCTTCCATGCCATTTCTACCTTGGAGCCAACCAACCACAGATGGAATCCTCTGAAATACATGAGTAAAAATAAACCTCTCTTCCTTTAGGTTGTGGGTGCTGGGATTTTTTCTCAGCAATAGGAAAGTTACTAATACAATGGACATGGCCTCTCACCTTGATGAGACTATTAGGCCCTTGAAGTGAGGAGAGGGCACATTCTCAATTGTCTTTTTTTCCTGTGCCCCACCTGGCACACACCCTTCAGAATTGCTGGGAACTTACCTGAGGATGAGCACACAGGCTGCGACCAGAGAGTAGGCCATAAGTGTTCCAATGGACATCATGTCCACGAGGGCTTTCAGGTCAAAAAGAAATGCCATTACAGCTATTAAGAAAAGAAAGGAAAGAAAGGTAAAGCAACAGCCTCCTGATGAAATTCCATAGGGTTCAATCTCTTTTAAGTCAGAGATAAATGACTGGCACTTTTTAATTTCAGTACTAATGGTAAATCAAACAAAGTATAAAAATATTTCTCAGTTTATAAGATGTCTTTTAGGTCACATAAATGGCTAATAAAACTTGAAAAACTGTGAGCTCTCTTGCAAGTAGACACATCTACTTAGATTTCTTATAACATACTTGTCCAAACAACATGAAAACATTAGATGACAGAAGACTGACCATCTTTTGGTGTATCAGAAGAAAAATATTGCTAGGAAATACTGGCTAGATTGCTTTTCAAAAGTAAAAATATTTCAGCTGGGGATTTATCCCAGTAGTTCTGCTGCCTGCCTCACAAGCTCAAGGACCCAAGTTGGATCCCTGGTACAAAAAGGGCGGGGGCAATAAATAAATAAATAAATAAATACTTCAAAGTTTCATTATAGAAGTGAAAAGCCATTTTAATTTTCAGCTGTAAAAAATTATAACATAACTCAAAAATTGTAAAATAGTTTGGACAAAATTGATATGACATTAAATTATATTTTTATGTAGACTATATTTTACTCTTATTAAAGCTATACCTTCCAAGTAGACTGAACAGATGTAAAAAATCAACATGTGAACTTGTACATCAAATTCCAATTAAGTTAGGAGGTAAAATATAATATTAACTTGAATTTTTAATTTACCACATCGCAGTCCTTATCTCAGTAAGCAGGTAACACCACATTCACTTTACATGGTGTTCCTGACCTCTATGCAACTTTTCTATCTCTGATCTCATCTTCAAGTCAGTGATTCTTGGAGGTGAGAAATTTCACTTTGGCTATATAAAATGACCAAAACCTTGACAGGTTCCTGACATGTTTTGCCTAATGGAAATATCCCCATCTTGTAGAAAGGTTAACTTGGCAAGGCTACAATTACTTGAGAGAGGCAGAGTTCTACCTCAACCAACATCTCTATGTATTCTCCTTCACAATACCACATCTTTTCTCTATTCTCTTTTGTAGTGCAGAAGACTGAATTCATGGCCTCACACATGCTAGACATTTTTCTTTAAATAGACTGCATGCCTCACTATGAAAACTCTTCACTGCTAGGATACATATTACATTATTAAAATTTTAGCATGTTTTTTGAGGATTACAGATAGACGAATAAGGTAGCCAAGAGAGGAAAAAAAGGATTAATTATCCATATCAGGTCTCTGGTCCAAGTTAAAACAAGTGTAATAAGGTGTGAGAGTACAAAATAACAAAAATACAGTATTTTAGAGCATTAGGACCATTCCATTATATTTTAAAAATTAATGTCAGTATTTTATTCTACTAAATTATATTCTTCCTGAAGGAATGAAAAGGACAAATTATTTTTTAAAAAATTTTAATATAAAGTAGAATTATTACTGGGCAAGTTTTTTACTGGAAAGAATAAAAAGGTTTTAGGGATTAAATGAGATGTGTGATCCTTGTCAAGAAACATTTATGAAGTGTCTTTAATGTAACAGACTTTTAATCACAAAATGGGCTTTGGATCATCTAGCACAATCTTCATTTTATGGGGACAGAAATCTAAGCCTGAGAAAATATGTAACTTGACTTTCAAATACAGTATATTCTACCAAATGTCAAAACTATTAGAAAATGTTTGCTACTAAAATAAAGCTTCTGATTCTGAAAAACAGCACACTTCATATATAATGAGACATCAGCATTGTCTAACCTAATTCCCTATTGCTTCTCGGGCCTTTTGGCTAAGATCCAGTGTAGTAACCTAATGCCCTAAAAGTTCAGAGCCTTAGTGAAATGACTTTCTAATGCCAAGATGGTCACATTTTATATAGCTATAAAGTTTACTAAAGTCTTCTCTTGCTTCCTATAACACTACCTCTAAGGCTATTCTCTTAATTTATGGAATCTCTGAAAACTTCCACATGCTGTAACAATCGGGCCAAAGGCATCTTGCATGAATATTAAGATATGTCAAAATGTAGACAATCTGGATTTTCTGAATATAATTTGCATATCAAAGTTATCAAAAGGACAACTAGATTCTAGTGGGGTGAGAAAGGATGCTAATCTTAGAGGATCAAGATGCCCAGGAACCAGGGATGCCCACTCTACTAAGAGCAGTAAGCACAATGGCCAACTAACTAACTATATGCAATTTGTGACATTTTTCATGCTTGATTAAAAATGGGTGAAGTTTTTTTAAAAATCCTCAGAGATGTTGAACATTTTTTCATGTATTTGTTGGCCATTTGTACTTCTTCCTCTGTAAAGTGTGTATCTGTCCATTTAATTTGCCCATTTCTTGAGTCAGTCTTTTATTTTACGTGGTCTAATTTTTTGAGTTCTTTATATATGTATATCCTAGATATTAGTCCTCTGTCTGAAGAACAGCTGGCAAATTTTTTCCATTCTGTAGGTACTCTCTTTACTGAATAATTCCTTTGCTGTATAGAAGTTTTTAAATTTGATGCAATCCTATTTTGTTAATGCTGCTACTTCTTGTGCAATCATGGTTCTGCTTAGAAAATCCTTTCCCACACCGATGACTTCAGGTGTTTTGCCCACTCTCCAAGATGACTGTAACTGTATGTACTGCAAACATGTAATATAAAAAATCCTCAGTCATTAAATTCATATTACCAAAACTAGATAATTATTCTTCGATTAAAAATTTCTGTACCAAAAGTAGAATTTTATGTGCTCATTCACCAATTACAAATAGTGAAGAACCTTTAGAATCTTTTGCACATTTGTTAGAAGCCCAAATTATTAAAATAATGAAAGAACATCTCAAAGGATCACTTAATTATGAATTTCAGTACAGAACCAACACCACGATTTTAACATGTTAATCCCAATGTTCATACACTAATTTAGCCAGGATTTTGTTCTTAACTTACATGCAAAGCATGCAGATCCTCTTTGTAAGTCCACGCATGCGCACAAAATGTTCCCATCCAATGTTTGTAAAGCTTACCAGAAAAGACCCCTGCAGTCAACGTGGCAGCAACTGGTGACTGCCTCTTACTCAATCTGGCAAGAAATCTAAACAGTAAACCATCCCGGGCCATGGCAAACAGAATGCGTGGTAAAGGAAACATAGAGCCCAGAAGACTAGAACAGAAAAATCCATAATCCACATGTGAGTTATACAAAGTACTATTCTAGACAGGTAAATATATAGGTACAGATAGGATCCACTACGGTAGAGAACCAAAAAATTCAAAAAAATTAACAACAATTAAAATAGAAAACCACCTATTTGTTTCAGAGGCCTTGATGAAAAAGATTTCCCTTTTCTTGATAAAAGTCAACTCTCTCACCTGCCACTGCACCCGATGATAAAGTAGCAATTACTGGTGTCTTCGTTTTGGAATTGATCTGAGCTAGGCATTTGAAAAGCAACCCATCCTCTGCCATAGCATAGATTACACGAGGCATTGGAAAGATGGATCCAAGAAGACTGAATAAAAAGCAAAGACATGCAGTATGGCAAACGCATTCATGCACAATTAGAAACCAGACTGAAATTAGGTAACTCTATAAAAATCAGCATCAGAGTGTGATTATGAAGTCATTGTTTTTTAAATGCACTATAATTGGGCACTGAAAAATATTTGCCAACCTTGACCATCATGGTACTCATTATTCTGTTACAAATGCTTGCCCAACCAAATTATCAGTCTAAAAACAATATTGTGACTCAATTGTGTGAACCAATTATTATTACTGAGTTAAAATGACATAATTAGACTTTTCAAAAAACCAAACCAATATCATTATGACATTTCTAGTGGCAATAATTCAAAAATAAAATTTCTAAATTAAAATTCAATTAAAGAAGAGATTAATTTTACCCCACAATATGTTACTTCTTTTATTCAATTACGTGTTTATGAGACCATTTTAAATCATACAGCTTGATCTTTGATCAAATTAGTAATAATTCTCAGCACAATAAAAGTCAAGGAAGAGAAAGACTGAAAAAAACAACTTACTGTAAATTTAGTAATAGAAGTAGCCAAAATTAAATGTTAGTAACAGTGAAATTTAGTAAGATACTTTTTGCTTAAGAGGTTTTGAATTACTTCTGCTTATTGGCTACACCATCCCATACATGAATTAGTTGTGAAAAATAACATATAAGGGAAAATATTTTATTTTTAAAAATTCACTCTTGGGATCTGAAATCCTGGTGGGGATCCCGGAAGCCTGGCTCCCCACTGTAAATCCAGGTCAATAGCACTGCTGGCCTCGGTTTCTGGAAGTCGACTGCAGGGAGGTCCACAAGTGGGGGAAAAATAGATTTTAAAAAACTCCATTTTCATTTTATCTTTTCATAGGAGTGGGTTAAGCTTGGCCATGGATGAATCTCTGTCCGTCATTGTAAGAACAAGATGGCACCGGTCTTCACAGTTCAGACGTAATTCTTTTGTGGTACTGGGCTTGAGCCTAGGCCTAGCTGTGAGCTAGCAGGCAAGCTTTCTAGCACAGAGCTACATTCCCACCCTACCTCACCCCCTTGAGACACGGTCTCACTAAGTTGCTAGGGTGGCCTTGCACAGTCAATTCTGCTCCCTAAACCGCCTAAGCAGCTGAGATTATAGATGTATGCCAGGGAACCTGGCTTACAGGGGTAATTTCTAATTGTCAATTATATTTTCTCTAGAAAATATAAGAAATTTTGGAGAAAAAAAAAGCTAGGTTGATGAATTATAACCACACATTTCTCCTTTAAAAAATCCGACCACATACCTTCCACTCACACTGACTACTGTATTACCTTAAAAAATTTTTGTTTTTGTTTTGAGACAGGGTTTTGCTATGTAGTTCAGGCTGGCCTTGAACTCACTATGTTGCCTAGGCTGGCCTCAAACTTGTGGTGATCCTTCCCGAGTTCTCGGATTACAAGCTACCATGCCTGGTGACAAACTATTACAAGGACTATAGAAAATGTCAAGTCTACATGCAGTTTTAGACTGTCTGAAGAACTTCAAATGACACGAAAGCCAGCAAAGCCAGCAGAGACATACTAGAGTAAGCAACCTAAAGTTTTACAATGCATAGATTAGATACATGAATACATGACACGTATTTGCATGTATATTAATGCCATTTATATTTATATGGAAGTTTGGACCAACATTATCTTGAAAAACTCTTTTAACTGATGTGGGAAAAGTTTTTTTTTTTAATCACTTAAGATTTTTAATGGCAATTCTGGGCAAACTATTCAGTAAATACATAGTTGCATAATATTTTCCTCATGTTAGAATATTTTTAGAACATACAAAAATATTTTTTAGACAGTAACTATACTTTGCAGGAACCCAAACAGCCCCTGTCCCAAAGCCAGTGGAATGTACCTTGTGGACAGTGCACAGAGGGAGCCCGCTGCAACAACGTACTTGGCAGGACCCCATCCAACGTACTCAAATGCTACCGGAAGGGGGCTTTTTTCATCGAGGAGGTAGTATGGCATCATAAGTGTCAAAGCTGCAGAGACTCCAAAGTAGGCCATAAAACAAACAAGCAAAGAAGTCACTATTCCAATAGGAATAGCTTTCTGGGGATTCCGGACTTCTTCACCTAAGGTAATACAAACAAACAATGTGCATGTTTAATAAGCCATTTTTAGGCAAAAACAACTTAATGTGGATCAAATTCTTTCTCTCTTCCATGGCAATTTTACTCTGCTTTTGTCCCTTCTGGTTTTTTAGTGTGATCCATTTATTTTACATTAAATTTCCCCTCTCTTCTGGAAGGTACTTTTCTATTACATAAAAATCCAATTCCCAGAGGGAAAAGAGAAATCATGCAAGTAATATTCTCATTTCCAGGAGAAACTGATGCATCAACACTCTTAAGTATTTAGGGACTGCAGTCTCCACCTATTTGGAAGGAGACTCACCCACAGATTACATGACCGATGCGATGTTTTATAGGTTGGGACACATGAAGGCTTCAGATAAACTTATTTCACCTATGTGAAACCAAATTCTTTGTACCCTTTTTGTAAGATTTGACATCTGAAGTACCCCAAAAATGATTACTTATAAGGCTGTGCAATGACAAGAAGCTAGAGGGGGCACCAGGAGAGTGATTCAGGCATGAGGACTTTATGGTACAGGATAAAGAGAAAATGCCAGAGCATATTTCATCCATCAAGGAAAAGGCAGTTTAAGAAAATAAATATTTGGAAGTGATAGCACATCCACATAGTTTAAGTACAATAATCATGAATTATACATGTAAGGTATTTCACAGCTTGCTAAGTATTTGTCATATGTGTACTTTGGCAATCTCTGTACTGCTCTCCCAATTTTACCAATGTAAGAAACCAAGGCTTAGAGAGTTTCATGAAGTATCTTTTCATTTTAAAATCTTATATAGCAGATATCACCAACAGATCTGGAATTAACACCCTTCTTATTCCCAAACCAGCTGTCTTTTTCTTGACCCTCTGCTTTCACACATGGCTACTCTGTGGTACAAGGGACACCTTTCCCTCTGTCTAGATCCAAGACACTGCTCTTACCAGTTGTTGCAATGCAGTCAAATCCCACAAAGGCATAAAAACAAGTGGCAGCACCAGCCAAGGTTCCTGCAAAGCCATAAGGCATAAAGCCACCAGCCCCATATATACTTGTTCCATTTTCAAAAGGTGACTCTCTAAAAGAAAGAAAAACACATTGCAAAGTCATTTTCATAGAAATGTGCTGCTTATAGGAATTTGAAAGTACATCTCTGAAAAGCTACTGAGTCTTCATTCAGCTCTTTGAACCTGATGTATATAAAATTTAAAACCTTATTATCTCAACCTGTTTTAGAAAATGTGGTAGGACCCTAGCAATAACCCTCTTAGGTCACTGTCTTGGTTACTTTTCTCTTGTTGCTGAGACAAAATATGTGACACAAAGTTAAAGGTCTATTTAGCTCACTGTTTGTAGAGGTTTCAGTCCATAACAGGCTGGCTACAAGCCAGAGTGGCATGGCAGACGGGCAACACAGAGGAGAAACAGTTCATTGTGGGCAGAAGGTAGCAAAGCAAGCAAGCAAGGGAACTTAGCAGCATTTTTTTTTTGCCCCTTTTATAATCTGGGGTACCAGGATTAGAGCAGTGCCAAACCAATCAGTGGACTGATTTATTAATCACCCACCTTTAATCCTAGCATTGCAATATGACTCAATCACACACCCTAGATCTAGACACTTCTGAAAAAGCCCCACCTAAGACCACATGAGGCATTGGGAGGATATCTATACATAGCCATAACAGTCACAGACATCCAACTAGAGGCTGATTGCCAGCAAATACATACAATCCCCAGACCACCCTGTCTGCAACACAAAGGCAGCCAGGATTTTGAGAACAGAGACATGTGCCATAACGCTTTTCGCTTGAAGAATCCATTCTTCAGTTCATAAAGTACAAAGTAAGACAACTATACATCTTTAAAGTTCACTAAGAAGTGAATTCACTAAGTGGAAAGGTGAAACAAAATTTCCTAGGCTAATTAACAGTGCTGGGGTTGAATATTCTATGTTAAAAAGTGTACAAAATCAGAGGATTTACAATTTTTCTCTAGGACTGCAACTTACATATATAAAGAATAACAAAGTCTGGTGTGGTGGTATACAGCTACTCAAGAGACTGAGGCAGGAGGATCACAAATTCAAGGCCAGCCTGGGCAGCTTAGCAAGACCTTATCTTAAAATAAAAAGGGTTAGGGATATAGCTAATGATAAAGTATTTGCCTAGCATGTGCAAGGCTATGGGTTCAATCTCTAACCCCTCAAAAAAATCAAGCAAAAACAGAGTACCTTACTCCATGTAATATATGTTTTTGAAATAGTATTTCTGCTTAAGCAACTAATAACATTCCCCCAAAACAAAGACTGAAAATGACTAAAACTCTGAAAGAATGAAATTGAATGGTAGTCTCAAAGGATGCAGACTTAAAAATACTCATTGTTATTTTGAGGGGGCAAACTGCTGGGGAGAAAGGAACAAGTTCTTCCAGGAGCTAGGTTTTCTCTTCTCTCTTCCCCTAATTCCACAGCACAGGTTGAGGCTGGGAACCAGCCTGGTGTGGCTTCTCATGAGGGCTCCATACTGAGCACACCCATACCTTTATGTCTGGAGGAGAGACTACACAGAGGGAGTCCACTCAGAAAGGTTTCAGAAGCAAGAAGTTTGAGAACCACTGCTCTAAACAAAGCCTTTGCATGCACTCTTAAAATGTAACATTTTTTAAAAGGGGAAAACTCCTACGTGTTTTACCTGGCACTTGCTGATATATTTTTGAGAAACTCTTCACTGATTTTCCAGTTAGCCACATTTCCTTTCACAAACCCAGCAACCATGACAAAGAGAAGGACTAAGATATTAACAGCTGTGAAGAATTTATTCACCCAAGCAGACTCTTTTACTCCAAAAGACAGGAGACCTATGGACAAAGAAAAGGCATTTTACTTTTCACCCTAACACAGACAATGACAATTTGAAGTGAATACAGGCATCAGGATATTGTTGCATCTACATTTATGTGTTTAACTCCTATGTAACCACTTCTTTACAGCCAGTTCCTACTCATTAGTTACTAATTGTGAAACAATGTCTTCTAAACATAGCTGATTTGATTTCTGGAGGCAGAACCAGCTAACAGGAGATTCCACACTAAGAAATACATAAGTCTAATAACCAGGTATTACCAATGGCAGGTAAATATAAGGTGATACTTAATTTTAATAGGATGCTTTCCTAAAAAGCCCCTTTAAGGCTAAAGGTTATGAAACATTCTTAAAAGCTTAATCCTGTATCTTTTATATATTTACTGAGCACAAGAACAAAAAATAATTCAATTGTTATGCCAGAAGTTCTCTGTTAAATCTATTCTTATTTCAATGGCTTTATTTTATACTGGGATTATAAAAATAACTAAGTTGAAGACATAGAAGAAGTATGAAGAAAACAACATTCAACTGTGATCCTCCCTCTAGAATTATATACACTTAAGCATACACATATTTTGATGTCAATAAATACAACTGCTCTTTAAAAACAAACAAAATCAAAACATAACAAGGTCTTACCACACTGCCCAAGCTATCCTTAAACACAGGGTCCTCCTTCCTCAGCCTCGAAAGTAGTTGGGATTACAGACACATGCTGCTGTGCCAACTATAATCTCATTTCTGACAGCTGCACGATCTACTATATGGAGATACCATAGTTTTACTCATCCTTTATTTATAGACAATTAGATCACTCTTAGGTTTTTATTTTTTATAATTATAAACAGTACTGACATCATCGTCCTTTTATAAATTTCTCCCTAGATTCTCTAATTCTTTCCTTAGAATAGTTTTCTATAAGTTAACCATGTATCAAAGGATATGAATTTTTATATAAGGCTTTTGATTTACAATGTCAAAATATTCTATAGAGACTCTGGCCCCAATTTAGATTGCTTGGGTTTTTTTTTTATACCTGTGTATTCTGTTCATATTCATTTATAAGATTCATTTATATATTGATGCTATAAGTGTCACAGTACTTTGTTTAAAATTTGCTTTTCAAAATTATTTTATTTTACTTTTATCTGGCATTAGGGATCGAACCCAGGACCTTGGCATGCTAGGAAAGTGCTTTACCCCTAAGTTACTCTCCCAGCCTTGTCATTTGCTTTTAACTCTACTGTTGAAATAATCCTTACATTGTTTCCTTTTTAGTTCCTACTTTAAGTAAGATCTTCCTTAACATTAACCCCAAAATATTAGCTTTGTTTCCTTCTAGTTTCTTTGTAAATATTATACACATTGTATTTAGTTTTTAATCTATCTAGCATAAGATATAAATTATGGACCTATGAGAATGAGAGTTTAAGTTTTGTCACTGGTTAAATGATTGCTATGAAAGGATTATACAATTTACTGGCTTCTTTCTTATAGCAATACCACCTACCATCACAGAGGCAAAATTTTCCAAGCAGAGATGAGAAAAGTTGAATTTAACTCTTACACTTGTATAGTTCCCAGAATCACACAATAACAAACTATATTAATGATATGAAGGAAAGCTGGAGAGTTAGCATAATTACCCACAGATAATTGTCTGTTAGGTTAGGAACCACTGCTATAGACATCAGAGAAAAACAAAGCCACCATCGCATTTTATGTTAGTTCCTCAATATCCATGTGGAGTGCTGGGGAAGTAGTATGTCTTCTCTCCCGCTTCATCTCCCACCTAACTGTAGTTTAGACACCATAAATATCTCAACTGAATACTGTGTATTCTTCCCTTGTGTCTTTAATGAATGAAATTACATTTAACAGTTTCAACTGACAAGACATTTGGTATTATTATATGGATAAAGGTTAATAATGGGACTTTGATCCTCAAAGATTCTAATAACAGTGATAATGTAGGCTTTGATTATATTTCAAGGAAAAATACAATGGATGAACAGAGGAGAAACAAGGGAGGGTAATGTCTTAGCTTTAGTCCTGCCATGGAATTAAGAGCTCTAACTACATATGTCAGTTACATGCTTCTCAGCTTTGAGGGTGTACAGCTAAATATTTTGTTTACTGAAACCACACTTAAGTAAAACATGCTATAAATAACTTAGTGGTAGCTAGGTTGTTTAGAAACCAAAATAAAAATTTGATGAAAAACAATAGATGCAATTTTTCTTGACATTACAAGGAAAATGCAAAATGTTTTAGACCTGAAAGTTTTGTTTATGTTCCTATCCTATATAGTACATTCAATGACTTTTTAAAGAGAACTACATTTAAAACTATAATTTATAGGAAAGCATTTCATGATAGAACAATATTTCTGTCGCATCTTTCTAGCCCATGGAGGAAACAAGACCATCCAGATAGAAAAGCAAGGGGCAGATTATTCAGAGAAAATCAAATAAAAAGTGGGGAGAAATACAGATTTTATGCTTAGTGTAAGCTCAACAGATTTTTAAACAGGTCTGCAGATGGGAATGAAATAAAAATAGGAGTTCAAATAGTTAAAGCAAATAAAAGAGGACAGCAGAGATTAGTCATGCTTACAAGATAAAACCCACTATTATGAGGGTGACAACTGTACCAAGCAAAACAATGTACTCATCTTATGGATGAGCGAGCTGAGTGATGGAGAGACTGAGTAATTATTTAAGTTCCAAGAGGAGTTAACCAGACACAGCAAGACTGAAAATCTGGTTGTCCTACTCCAATTCATATTCTTTTCTAACCTCTGTGCTACAATACGGACGAACATGGAAAAGTTCCAGTACCAAGTGTGTGTGCATCACACACAAATGAGTGACGACCTGTAAAGTTCCTCTGAGTTTGTCATATAGACGAGTGCATAGAAAAAAACCCTAGAGTTTCTTCTAGAAATAATATGCTTACAAATATATTTAGTTGTATCTAACAAGGATGAAATAATGCCATGAAATTATGTATTCCTCCTTATTGAATCTTCATTGCCATTGCTGCAAACTTCCAATCAGTTGCAAAACTAAAGTCTTCTTTCCTATTATTTAGTGCATGCCAGGTGCCTGACTCAGAAGCACTATTCTTCCTCTCCACACAATTTAGACTTGTTTTTGAAACACACCTATTACGTAAGGTAAAATGTGATTCCAGCCAGTGATGAAGGCCACAGACACCCAAGAGTAACTTAAGTGTATGAATCTGATGAGTTGGTCTGGAGAGTTCATATTCCAAATTCAGTACTTTTCCGGACAATGAATTTGGCTCATTAAAGGGAAAGGTGTACAGTAGTAGTTTTCTTACCTGCCAGAAGTAATATAAGGCACACAGCAAAAAAGTCTGGATACTCCGCAAGGCCAGTATAATTCATTTTGAAGTATGTCTTCAAAAACTGACCGATCTGTTTGTTAAGCAATTCATCGAAGGTACCACTCCATGCTCTTGCGACACTTGAGGTACCTTCCCAAAACACAGAACATGCAGAGAATATAAGATCACTTGCAGAAAATTAACATAACACCAATTTCTACTCTACTCCAGATTATCATGGCCTAGTTCACATTTGTTGAAATTTTTAATGACATTATAATGCTAATTTTATAGTAATAGTAATCAAATGCCCAAGTTCCTAAGTACAGAATCAGGTAATAACTTCATTAACAATAAAGGAATTCTTAATTAATTATTTTCTTTTTTTATCCCCATTAAGTTTATTGGTACATTTAAAGCACACAATACAGTTACACTTATCACTGGGATCTTGTGCCTTTATATATCTTGGTTTTTATTTTTCCACTATACCCCTGCCTTCCCTTCACACCCTCTGCACTCTTCCCTATTTACAAAGACTTTGTTTCCATTTTTTAAGAAATTCTTATTTTAAAAAATAGGAATTTCAACCTCATTGAGAGGCACATTAAAAAAGGCATATTTAGAGATGAAGCAGAAACCCAGAATTTATGTGCAATTAGAAGTTATTTTAGAGATGAAAAAAAAATGAGACACACAGGGGCCAGGCAATCCACTGATAATCACCCAGAAGCTAAGTAATGTAGACTACAAATGAACACTCAGGAGTGCTGTTTTTACACAATTGAGATTTGTTTTTGCAACGTACCTATTACATAAGATAAAATGAGATTCCAGCCAGTGATGAAGGCCCACAGCTCACCAACAGTAACATAAGTGTACAAATAGGCAGACCCAGTCTTGGGAACTCGGGCTCCAAATTCAGCGTAGCACAGGCCAGCCATCACAGATGCCAGGGCAGCGATGAGGAAGGATACGACGATACTGGGGCCAGAATCTGCTTTGGCAACTTCCCCAGCAAGGACATAAACCCCAGCACCCAGAGTGCTCCCAACCCCCAGGGCAATGAGGTCCATGGTGGTTAAGCAGCGGCACAGTTTAGAATCTTCTAAACTGTCCATAGTGACAATTTTTCTCCTGATCAGACATCGGGCGAAAGTGAGCACTGCTCTGCAGGGAATCATTCTGAAGAAGGTAACCTGAGCAAGAGAAAGAAAGAGTCAGAGGCTGACCTGGAGCCACCACCCCTCTTTCAGCCACCTGTCTGGAGACAAAATTAAGGCAGCTGTACTTTTTTTTTAAAACTTGTTGACATAAGTGCAGCTCTAAGCAATCAGAACAAGATTTCCTGGAGTTCATGAGGCTCCAATAAATGGCTTATTTGGAAGCAAAGGAATATCCCTGGGCAATTAAAAGTCATTTTTATTCACTTACTACAGTTTTCAGGATATACTGATAGAACTACATCTCAAGAGAAGGCCAACTGAGACTTCACTATAAAGAGGGGAACAAACTGTCTCATTTTCTTTTTTTTTTAATTAAAGATTGCAAACATACATGACAAGAAATGAAGATACTAAATAAAAATTTCAAATATACATATATATATGACAGCAAAAAAGGATATGAAATAAACAAAAATTTATGCAACACAGACAGATAATCCAAATACATTATTAGTTTGATATGATCGTCAAACATTATATATTCTTTTTCATTTTCTTTTCATATATTTTTGAAAAATGTATTTACAAATAAAACAAAGTTACATATAATAGTTGAGAAACTATCTTCAAATTTTATGATTTATAAATTCCTTGGTTTTACTGATTTGATAAATATCATATGCTTGTTGATTGTATCACTTACATTTTCTAACAAAACTTCCCACAGAAAAGAAATATACTTATATTTGAAATCCAAAAACAACTAAAAGAGTTCACATTTTTAAGATCATATTTTTCTGTTTCTACTTTATATCCCATATTTATTTTTATTATATTTTTATAAGCATAATGATAGAATTTAACACCAATACATATGTAATATTCTTCCCATACAAATGACTATGAATTAAATCAAGCATGTAATTTAGAGAAATCATAAGGTTGCCAGAGAAACTATCGATATGCCAAATGTGCAAAATCCTACCACATTCATGCCCATGTTTCTCATTTAATAGTGCACACATATATGTAAAAACATACCCCCCACACATATACACAATGCATATTTTCTACAATACAATATATACTTTGGTATAATAAAACAGTAATGTGTGGAATGTTTGTGATTTGTGTGATTTGAGAAAAACAAATATCATCTTTGAGGCAGTTGGAGAATTTGTAATATGTACCAGATACTGAATGATATTGATTTATTATCCATTTATTTAAGTATAGTTATGATAAAATTTACTTAAAAATTAATATTCGTTATCAGTAGAAAATAGGTACAAAGGTATATATTGATAACATAACAAAATCTGTCTTAACAAATTTCCAACCAAACAAGCTGTAGTGACAGAAAGGAAGTTCGAAGGCAGAGATGAGAGAGGAGAATGACGGATAGACCTTAATACTTTTCAAGCTACTCATATATACAGATTTCATAAATTCTCAATTAAAAAAGCAAAGAACATGAGAACCAAAATAACTCATCAATTTGGTAGACCAACATATAAAGACAAAGATTAATGTGTTGATAAATTTAAAAAATATGAAATGTAAAGCCTGAGATTTAGCTCAGTAGTGCTGCACCTGCCTAGCCAGAACAATGTGCTGAGTTTAATACCTAGCACCAGGGGAAGAAAAAGAAAAAAGAAAAAAAAAAAAAAAAAGAAAAGAGAAAAGGAGCATATGTGCTTTCTAACATACTCAATAGATTGAAAATAAATTATTTGTTATCTCTTCCTCTTGAATTGTTCCCTTCACAAGGATGTAGTTAGTGGCCTTCTTTGTCTCTTTCAATCAGTTTAGGTTTGAAATTTACTTTGTCTGTGAATAAAATTGCTACCCTGCTTTTTTCTGGGCTCCTGTTGCATGAAGAAGTTTCCCGACCTTTCACTTTCAGTCTATAGGCTTCTTTTTGCACGAGGTGTGTCTTGTATACAAGATATTACTGGATTTTGCTTCTTAATCCGTTCTGCCAGTCTATTTCTCTTGATTGGTGAATTGAGGCCATTGATATTGATGGTTATAACTGATATGTACTAACTTATTACTGTCATGTTTTTTTCGCCTTCTCCTTTTAGTTTCTTACCTTGCCTATTTGATTTGCTCTGTTGGGCCTCATTGTGTTGTTACCTTGTCTTTTTCTAGGATATTGTTTAGAATTCCTTGTAGTGCTGGTTTGGTATTCATGAAGTTTCTCAGGTGTTCTTTGTCACGGAAGTATTTTATTTCCCCCATCCATTTTGAAAGAAAGTTTTGCAGGATACATCAGTTTGGGTTGGAGGTTGTTTTCTTTTAGTACTTGCAATGTCTCATTCCAGGCTCTCCTTAACCTAAGGGTTTGTGTTGAAAAGTCTGCTGTGATTCTGATGGGCTTTCCTTTGCATGTGATTTGTTTCTTATCTCTTACTGCTTGTAGTATTTTGTTCTTCTGTTGGGTTTCTGGGATCTTGATTATTATATGTCTAGGTAAAGATTTTTTTTTTTATCATGGCTAGTTAGAGTTCTATATGCCTCATTTATCTGTATGTCAAATTCTTCCCTTCTGTTTGGGAAGTTTTCTATAATTAATTCTGTGAACAGCTTTTTAAAGTCATTTGTATTTTCTCCTGCTACTTCTTGGATTCCTATCAGTCTTATGTTATTCTTCTTTGCATCCTCGAAGAGTTGTTGGATCAATTTCTCATGATCCCCTACTGTTTTTAAGAGATGTCTCTTTTCACAGTCACTGACTGCAATCCCTGGGTAATTAAAAGTCATTTTTATCACTACAGTTTTCAGAATATACTGATAGAACTACATCTCAGGAGAAGGCCAATTGAGACTTCGCCACAAAGATGGGAATGAACTGTCTCATTTTTTAAGTTTTCTTTTCTTTAATCATTCATTCAGCTCAGATTTTTTAGGCCTCACTAAAGGCTAGGGATTGTGCAAGGAACGGTATTACATAGATATGGTCTCTGTGATCATTATGTATTCTACAGGTTTACCTATTGTATGAACTACTCTTTTCATTTTAAACATTTAGTATGTAGCAGATATGAACTTACTAGATAAAAAAATTCCAAGCATGCTTAGGTTACTTGGACTAAAGCCACTTGATTATACTTTAATTAGAAACTGATAACTAAAATACACATGCTTATATTTATTTGAAGTTTCTAAATAAACTCAAAGTCAGTCCATGCCAAGTATATGATCTTTTTTAAATAGAGGGAACAGTGAAGACCAAAAGTCCCATCTAACCCTGCTAATCAGATTACAAAGCAAAATATGCATTGCAGGAAGAAAGAAAGATATATACTATATAAGGCACACATATATTACTGTAGAAATGTCTAATGTAAAAATGTAATAAACTATTAATGCCAATTATATTTGGGTAGCAATTTGCTCTTTACTACTATGCATTTCATATGATATATTGCTAATATCTATTTCTGATTTAATTTCAATAAAATGTACAACCTATTTGCAAAAGAAATTAAAAATTACAAAGCTTCGCAAGGCAGTGTCTGCAGAGATACGTGATTTAGTTAACTAGGAAATAACTGAAAAATAGGAAATACAATGCATGCTGCTTATCAGGCAATACAATTTTAGAAGTAAAAAATCATGTTTCTTTTATTCCATGTACTGCACTTTTGCACAAGGATCTTATTCACCTTGAATACTATTTCTGTCGACTTCATTATATTCATCATCCTTAACTCTTAAGATCACAGCTTGGCATTTTCACTTAAGAACTTAAACTTAAGAACTTAAACTCTTGAATATTTCTCAACTTTAATTTCTTTTTTTTAAATTTCAAGCTAGCATTCACAATTACAATAAAAACAAAAACTGAAAAAAATAATAAAACAATCTATATGGCTTGTTGCTCATAAGAGAGACATTTCTGAAATGCGAATAAACCAGTTTCATGTTAAAACTAGTAGGTAAAACTAACAACATTATTTACATATAAGTGAAAGGTCTCAATATTGAAAGCAGCTAATTCAAGGAATACAATGAAAAATCCTAAAGAAAACTGAAAACAGATGAAAAAGTTCCATTAAGATAAAAAACAAACTTTTACTCATCTGCAACTTTTTCCACAACATCTGACAGATGGCCAAAGCACATTGACATAGGAAAAGACTTTATGAACAAAGCCTCAGTAGCATGAGAACTAGCACAAAGAGTCAACTGGAATTTCATCTTTTTGAAAAGCTCTGCTCTGCAAGAGAAATCACCAACAGAGCTAAGAGACAACCTAAAATGTGGGAAAAAAATTTTACCAAGCTGTTCCACAGACAAAAATTTACTATCCAGAATATATAAAGAACTAAAAAAAAAAAAATCAGACCCCCAAAATTTATAAACCCAATTCCAAAATGGGCATCTGAAATGTTTGATTTCTCAAACAAATAAGTAAAAGCAGCAAAAAAATATATGAAAAAGTGTTCCACATCACTGGTCATTCGAGAGATGCAGATGAAAACACTGAGATTCCACCTCACCCCAGAAAGAATGGCTGCTACCAAGAAATCAACCAATAACAAATGTTGGTGTGGTTATGGGGAGAAAGGAACCCTTCTCCATGGTTGGTGGGAGTGCAGACTGGTGCAACCACTGTGGAAATCAATATGGAGATACCTCACAGAACTAGGACTAGAGGTCCCATTTAATCCAGCTATTCCTCTGCTAGGTATCTTGCCAAAAGAATTAAAGGAATCATACCACAGTGATATATGTGAACCCATGTCTACAGTGGCACAGTTTGTAATAACTAAAACTTAGAAACAGTCCAACAGCCCATCAACCAGAGACTGGATAAAGAAGATGTGGGTTTTCTATAAAATGGAGTACTACTCAGCCACAAAGAACGAGAAACTAGAGACATTTATAGCTAAGTGGATATACATTTCTTAAGTGAAATAAATAATACACACATGTTTAAATACTGAATAGTTTCTCTGGCATGATAAACGAAAAGTGTAAATAAGAATCAAAATGTATAATTAATATTGTGTATTGATATGTTT